CTTTTATACGTTTTATGACAAAAACTGATACCTTTTAGAAATTGAAATACCCGTTGATTACATAAAGACGACACCCACCTCATTAAATTTAGTAGTGCTACTACCTCCTATTTTGCTGAAAACCATTTACATGCATACCGATAGCATAGTTACTTAATGTTCTCTAAAACTGCCAGGAATAATGTATATATGGCGAAATCATGCTTGAGTATTAAATTCAAAGCGTATTTTTATCCTGTAAGTAAATGCTCTTCATCAAGTATGTTTACAGTCATTCCAATAAAATAAAACAAAACACACACACACAAAGACCAAAACAAACACAAAAAACACAAGAAACGGAAGTAAGAAAAATATCTCTTGAACTGAAAAACCAACGTTATATAACCAAATTTTTGTGCAAATGATAAGCGTATTATGCTTCATAATGATTTACACACTTATGACTAATAAAATACGCTTAAACGTGCCGTGATTAGGCACAAAAACACACTGGCAGTAACAAAAGTTATCATAAGAACTCCAGGACATATTTTGAGTTATCGCAAGAACTCCGTAACATTTGAAAAATCGGGTATACATTTATTAGCCCGGGATTTATGTTTGCAACTCTCTATAATAATCAGGTAATTAGGTATAGCAACGAAGAAGATCACAAATGAAAAGGTCAATATGTACGAATTATAGCCAGTAATTTGGAAATTTTTCTCAAAACTACCCGATCTTTTAAAAAAAGGCGACAAAATATGGACTAAAAGATGTTTTCTGAAACATAATACAATATGTAGGGCAAGCTTAATTATCAATGTTTAATTTAGCACTTCAAACTCCCCATTTAAAGTTAAAAATAACCATTTTTTACGCGAGTTCTCCAAGTATATAGAAAAGTTTTCCACAGAAATCCGTAACGTTTTCCAGGAACCCCGTGACAGTTATCATAAGAACTCCAAACAAGTTATCATAAGAACTCCATCCTTCGTGTAACACTTCCTCCCCCGTGTATTTGGGCTAAAATGAACGAGTGATTTCATCATGTGGACAGCATAATTAGTTTTTTGCATCACCTTCCGTTTTCAACTTTAGTATTTTTTTGTAAAAAGCAAACATTTCATTAAAGTGTACAAAACATCGGTATTTATACGACTATATACCCCCAGCAGAGCTATTCCAAATGTGTCTTACAACTGTTAGTGCAGCCGTAATATAAAGTGTCCGGCTTAGGCCAATTAAATGACACCTATTGACACACATTTTTTTCCTAAAAGTTTTGTGTTACCCTTTTGTATTTTAGAAGCGAGATTCTCCCATGAAACATATTTTGCGCCTTTCAACGTTGAATTTCTCGCATGTTTAACTGCCCACGAGAATTGAAATTTAATAATAAACGCGATGATTAACTTTAATTCTCGCATGTTTCTTTCGTAAATTGTAGCTATAGTGAATGTTCTTCGAAACAGAATGTTATTATTATAAAAAAAATCGCTACTTATCTATTAACAAGAGGAATGCGCTCGACTATTCTCAGTGCTTGAAACAAGAGCCTGAATAATGTAGAATTTACTAAGTTCAAAAAGGACCATAGTTCTGTAGAGTTTTAGGCCTTAGATTTTGACCTATTATGCTCTCAAATAATTGTTTGAAGTATCATTCAACTTCCTTCAGTAGTTTTGGGGAAACCATCTTGCACACAAATATTTAACCAAATTGTGACGCCAACATGGACGCTTGACTGAGTACAATAGCTCTCCATACTCCAAAAGTCAGGCTATTTAAACAAGATATTTAATCTGTCGTAGATACACCATTGTAACAAAATATATAGAGGATATTTGTTTAGTTCAGTGTAAGATCGGAATATATTTCACCGAGTGAGCACCAAAAGGTATATTTCACGAGTGGCGCAGCCACGAGTGAAATATGAACTTTTGGTGTTCACAAGGTGAAATATATTTCAATCTTACACTAAACTAAACAAATTTTCTTTTTATTACATGCAAAGAAACGTTTTAAAAAGACAATTAATCTAATAATTAATGAAAAGCGCGCCAAAATAATAATGCAACGTGACGTCATTTACGACGTCACGTCATTAAGTTGGTACCCAGTACTGTGCACGCTGCTATTTCACTGAAACAACGTAAGGGGCTTAAATTCAAAACAGTGAAATTATCAAAGTGGTAATTTCACTGTTTCAAACAGTGAAATTACCCGTTTTATATCACTGATATATTTCTATAAACCACCGAAAAGCATGTAATAAATACGTTTAATTTTAAACTTTGAATGCTGTTTTCGTTATAATGGTAGTTCTTAATGCTGATCGCCTTCATACACTACTTTTTACCAATAATAATACTAGTAGATGACATGAAATACTGCTTTTTTAGAATTAAGATTTTGCAAGTTCTTTGTCTTTATTGCAAAAATAGCATTCCCCTGGACAACCACAGACTTTAAACTGGATTTTGCCATTCATGGATTCTACATAGAACCTTGCAAAATATTTTACTTCAGAAATTTAGCACATTCATGGAAGATATTATTATGGTTATCAGTTTTAGTTTTATTAATATTAGTCCTTAACAAATAGTTTTGCAAGTGCAAATGGATGCATGTGTGTCTATTTGTAATAAATAGGGTGCTTCCAGTCCTCTTTTACGTCTTCCCAGGTTGAAGTATGAATGAATAAATATGTTGGACTTGTCAGGTGTGTCAACATTTGTGACGGTATATAGCGACGTCATGATCAACATGCTAATATGGCGTCAAGCTTTGTTGTAAAACTAGGCCGCACGGAACCCCTATATAAAAACCACGTACTGTTCTGTTATTGGTTACTTTGTAACTATCTCTCTGTTTAGCCTGAAAGTCGAAAAAGTTGTTTTGGGTGATGAGTACAATGGCCGAACAGTTACTAAAATGCATTGTTTTCAGTAAAAGAAACGCATTCTGAGCAAAATTATCAATGACATCTTGTGCACAATTGCAAGTTTGCCCGTCAAGAACAAATTCCATCCTTTGTAAAGTTGCATAACGAAGTTGTGCATATTTTTAAAAAACGAGTACAATGGTCGAATCAAATTTAATGAGTACAATGGCCGAACGATTTTATTGCCTGTCCTATTTTGTTAATTTTTTCATTTAATTATGCTTGTTTCTCGCTTCCTGTCTTTGAAATCATACAAATATAATATTTGAAAGTGAAAAGTAGAAAGAAGTATTAAATTAAATGAATTCAGTTTGCTTGCTATAAATTCTCATCATAATAGTATTCTGCTTTGATAACATACATGTTCATCAGCGTAAAATAATTTACAATACAAAAATAAAATACAAACATTAACATTATATTATACGTATATCTAAGGAATATATACATGTATTGTATATTTTGAATTTTACTATAATAAATTGTGCTTATATTATCGTTAAATACTTCATCACACCATATTAAGGAATTCAATATCTTTACAGGAATCGGAAATTCTGATGTGTTTATTTGCCGGCATTATGTCAAATCGTTTAGAAGACGATCAGCTTCATGTCGTCACGAGCCGGCACACAAGAGGAAAGTACCCCATACATGCTGTGGGACATGGTTCCTTAGTTTCGGCAAATTGCAAAGACATTGGTTTGTAAATTGCATATTATACATGAAGTACATAGCTGTCTGATATTTCTACATACGGATTGAGTGTCTAAGATGGGAAGAACACAAAGAAATGGTTTCATGTAAATAGGTTACATGTAAATAAAGAAAAGCTATTAAGAAAACGAAATAAGATAACCCTGGAGCAATATATTGCCCCATTATTTGCTTTAAGCAGCGACATACAATGTACCATTTGTGTTGAGAAATGAACGCATTATATAATTATGTTTCTAAATAGGAACAATTAAAGTATACAAAATTTCTTATGAGGACAAATATTACGAAACCCAGTTATATTAGCTCCAACATCGTTAAACACAACATTGAAGCTATATTTACATCAATAATCTGATAGTATTTATAAATTCTAATTTGCTTCAGTTGACTTTTGTCACGTGCAGAAACGTCAATGAAATTTATTGAGTGAATAACTTGTGTTGCTCAAGTTCAGATTTTGTCGCGAACTGACTGCCTGAAACAGTTTCATCTGCCATGGTTGTTTGCTCTGAAACAACTGAAACACATTAGAATTTTAGAAATACTATCAGATTATTGATGTAAATATTCCATGTTATGTTTAACGGTATTGGAGCTATAATAACCGGGTTTCATAATATTTGATCTCATAAAAAATTTTGTACTTCAACTGAATCCTTTTAGGAACATGTGTAATGCTATCATTTCTCAACACAAAGGGTACATTGTATGCCGCTGCAAATAATAGGGCAATATATTGCTCCAGGATTACCTTATTTCGTTTTCTTAATACATTTTCTGTATGTAACCATTTCTTTGTGTTCTTTCCATCTTTTCCACATAAGCCGTTTGTAGAAATATCAGATGCTACTGACGGTTGTGAGTGGTCCAACTTAATGTATTTAGTAATATTATTTAGTAAATTCAAGTAATTTTTACACGTAGTCAGCTGACATACATGTATTAGTCTATGTTTACGTACCGAATTGTTGTGCCGCAATTATGTCTACCAATGATTTTTAGCATGAAGTCGCTCGTTTCTTGATAGATATTTCATGAACGGGAAGGGCTAGAGACTTGGGGTTGGTCTCATTTTGAAGCTTTATATAAACGTGAAATATTGATAAAAGTTTTTTTTTAATTGTCTGGCCAATCGTTTTCACAACGGCCCGGGAAATGAATCCCTTGCTCGTAGGCTCGAATCTGGAGTTTCCGGCCTTCTCTTAACTTATAGTATATTTTTAAAGGGGGTCATTATATACATTTTTTTTTTGTTTTTTTGACACTTTTAAGATGAACACAGGTTTTTTTATCAATCTGGTCATATTTTTTCTTCCCAGGTCCGATACTTTTGCCTGTGATTTCGAAGTAATTTGGAGATCTCGAGTCTTTCGTACCCAAGACATTTCGATCATACTTAGACTGCAAATCGACAGATTTTACAAATTGATATTACACAGATGTCTGCCTTTACAGGAAAACCGGCATATATGCCTACAATTTTTTGGTCTTGTCACGGCCGTTACGTCTCTACCAAATGGGGCACATTCTTGAATATTTCAGAATAATTTTATTTTGACCTTTATAAATTATTATATCTGGAAAAAATATATCTATTTAAAGTCTAGCCATTTCATTTTGGGTCATCTTTTTACAATTTGAATAATTATTCTGGAAAAAACAAAGTGCGCAAATGATCTAAAGGTTTGTACAAAGATTAGTGTTCTAAACATTCATCAAATGGTACATTTATCTGGAAAAAATATTTCAGTTCCATCATGACAAAATACCTCAATGGAACCCCTTTAAATTGAATTACACTTTTTTTTAATGTATGGGTAAATTCCATTTTCAGTGGTTGAAATTTTTCCTCTTTTCTCATTAATCAAGCTATAGTTTCCCATTTATAAAGCCACAGGTTTGTTTTGAAAGTTGAAAAAAAAATCACTGCCACCTTGATAATTGTTAACCTGAAAAATCTTCAGGCACTTAAAGGGATTTGAACCCCAGACCTCTTGATTACAAGGCAGACACACAACCATGTCGCGAAAAATGTCAACACAACAGCAAGACTGTTGGAAATGATCTATACCTGTTCTCAATACATGGTTGAAGTAATTTATCAGTGTTTAAATTAGACATTTTATATGATTTAACAATTTTTGACACTACTGATATTCACATTTTTTCACAAATCTACATGTAAAAAATAAAGATCATAATAAAATGATAGAACATTTTCTATTTTAGTGGTAATACTGTGGAGTAATATGAAGAAATATTATTAATATTTTATTATCATAAATTTTTCAAATTTTAATTATGTCATTACATGCTGTACACAATCATATTATTGTGTAAACCATATATATACATTGTATAGACACATATATACATTGTATATACACACACTAAGAGAGTAGTATTAGATGAATTTGAAAATGAAATCTCTAAATTGATATTTTCAGGGAAATAAAAGATCATTTACTTTAATATTCACTTGGAAAGGCTGGTACATGTAGCTAGAAAAAAAGTACAGTATAAGATTAAACAAAGACTAGAAGATTATTACAAACAACAGGTACTTATATAATATTTAATGTATATTTCACAAACCAAACTGAATTTTCCAAAAAAAAATTAATGAAAACAATATTTGACCTAGAGTCATAAGATTGACAGAACAGTGGCGTGTGGGGGCATCCGTGTGTCCTATGGACACATTTCTAGTTTCACTTATATACTATGTAGAAATTTTGTGAACGCAACTCCTCTTAAACCGGATGGCAGATTTTGCTTAAACTTACAGGGATGAACAACCTTCAGGTGTAGATGGTAGTAAAGGAAAGAAAATTTTTGCTGCGACCAAATTTTACAGAATTATGGCCCTTTGTTGATTTTTTCACAATAATTACTATGTAGAAATTTTGTGAATGCAACTCCTCTTAAACCGGATGGCAGATTTTGCTTAAACTTCCAGGGATGAACAACCTTAATGTGTAGATGGTAGTAAAGAAAGACATTTTTGCTGCAACCAAATTTAACAGAATTATGGCCCTTTTTTATTTTTTCATTATATATACTATGTAGAAATTTTGTGAACGCAACTCCTCTTAAACCAGATGGCAGATTTTTTCTTAAACTTCCAGGGATGAACAACCTTAATGTGTAAGATGGTAGTAAAGGAAGGAATTTTTGCTGTGACCAAATTTTTTAGAGAATTATGGCCCTTTTTTGATGATTTTTAGTTTTCAACTTGTGGCACATGTAGTCCAAAAAATATTTGACCTAGAGTCATAAGATTGACAGAGCAGTGGCTTGTGGGGGCATCCCCGTGTCCTAATGGACACATTTCTAGTTTTCTTCTTAGTGTGCCTTTATTGCTAAGATCTATTTAATTGACAGACTGTTTTTAAAGTTTGAAGGGATAATCTTTGAAACATTCAGATTGGTTATTAAACTAACCATTATTTACTTTATTTTGTAGCCAATAAGTAATTATACCTTTAAATTGTATGCCGTCGAAACAAATTAATTGTATACTGTCTTGAATTGTATACACACCAGTCTCTCACAATGCATGACTCACCCCAAATGAGGGTAAAAATAACTCTGACATAAAAAAAGTCTGCGTAGGGATGACAATTTTATTAATAAAACACAATATATTGTTCATTGCTCATTGTTTTTCATAGTTTAATATTGCAAGTGCAAATTTGATAGTTCCACTGTGTTACTATGTATTAAAATATTCAAAACTACTTTCACTTTCGGTTTTAATTTAAACTAACAATTGACGAAATACGAGTGTTGAACGAATACCATTAAAGGATTGTCAGAAGGAGTGTTTTGCGCATGTTTTGAGTAAAAAATGATGTAAAGGCTATTACACCAACAGAGTATGGAAAAAGTTTAAATTTTCAAGTGGCCTGATTTCCGTTTTGTTCTATCACTTCGGTGTTAAAGCCGCCATGTAAAAGTAGTGCGTTCCATCATGCTTAGAGTGGTTTCACACAGGTCAGTAAGACCGGTGTACACAATGTACTGTCTGCACATATGTGTCAGAAAAAATATCACAAAAAAGGAATTTATTATTACTATGAGTATTTATTAAAGAAATTGTATTTCAAATATATTTAAATAGTATTATTGAAAGTCATTTTGTATGACAGACACACAAATCTAGTGCTCTGCATTATAAATGTAAGAAGAGACAAATAAGATAAGCATTTTTTTGCAAATTATTGCACTTCATATAATTTTTATTGCTTTTTTTTAAGGTGGACATGTGTCACTGTCAAGCGAATGAAGATAAGCATCACACTCGGTGGGAATCTCCAGTTTCCAGATGTAGTGATCATAAACTGTATAGGCACCATTAACACTTTGGACTAGTTGGAGTATTTTAGAGGGCTAGTCTGAATTGAATCCCCTGTCAATAGTAAAGGCCAGTCATGAACATTGTGTTAAAGGAAAATGTTAAAACTCGGATTTCCCGCTTAACCAATCATTACTTTACCTTATATTCAGTGCGGTAATGTAGGAAATGGTTACTTTCTGGAACGGAGCTGTCAATTATTTTTAATTTTTTAGCTTGTTAGTGTTATCGTCGGACAGTTGTGAAGTAAAGACATCGCAGTTTGACTGTATAAAAGTTGCCTTAAAGAAAGTATGTCGAAATCTTAACAGTTATTCGTTGATTTTGTAGAAATTGACCAGAATTCACCTTTGTTTACACGCATTGCTTGGACGTCGAAAACGACATGCAATGACATTTCAGTGAAATTTGGAAACTTGCTCGTATTTTGGAGCATTTTGTAGGATTTCGATGAAGTAAAGTGTTTATGATAGGATACATTATTCCTAGAGACAACCACAAAAATAAAATAGTGATCTGGTGTATTTTTACCGAACAGTTCTTGTTTGTTTTGCATGATATTTTTCTCTCGTTAGGGACCTTTATTCTTTATATATAGTATTATGAGCGTATATGGGTAAATGTGGTATATAGTGCCTGTGGTTTTAACATGTATCTTAGCTTGCCTGGTGTAATGATAAGTAATAAACCTGAGAATTGAAACTATGAGAATAAATTGTTGTTATTAGTCCCCTTCTATTTTCATTAAGAGGGGACTAAAGGCTGACCCATTTCTGTATGTCAATGAAAGCTGAATTTTGCTATAACTTAAATGGTACAAAAGTAAGGTTCATCATACTGGTATCTGATATAGAACTATACAGAGATTTAGCATGTTATTATAATTTATGCTCCTGAAAGGGAGAGAATATAGTTGCGGTCTTAACCATCTGTCGGTATGGACTCAAGTAATATTCTGGATAAATATCTGTGTTCATTCCATACAGACTTGTACTTTTGGGGAAAAAGGTTGCTCATGGGAGGAAAATATGTTTTTAATGGTGTTTTTGAGATTTTAGTTGATAAAGGAAAAAAAACATAGTCTGAACTTAGGAAGACATTTGTCCTTCACACTCTTGTCCGAAATATGAATATAACTAGATATGTATTGAAGGGATTTTATGTAAACTTCACTTAAGATATTAAGCATGAAACATCATCTAATGAGTGTTTACCAAGTTTGTTCAAATAAAAGGCCCGGGGTCAAAATTGGTCCTGCCCCAGGGGGTCATTAATTTTCTTTAAATGCAAATAGTAAAAACTTAAAAATCTTCTTTTAAAGAACCCAAAGAGCTAGAGCTAAGATATTTAGCATGAACATCTTCTAATGAGTGTCTACCAAGTTTGTTCAAATAAAAGCCCCGGGGTCAAAATTGGCCCTGCCCAAGGGGATCATTGATTTTCCCTATATGCATATAGTAAGAACTTCAAAAATCTTTTTTAAAGAACCCAAATAGCTAGAGTTTATATTATAAGTTGAAACATCTTCTAGTGAGTGTCTACAAAGTTTGTTCAAATAAAAGCCCTGGGGTCAAAACTGGCCCTGCTCCAGGGTTGTCATTGTTTTTAACAGTATGTGTTAGTAAAAACTTAAAAAATCTTCTTTAAAAAAACCCAATAAGCTAGAGCTTTGATGTTTAGCATGAATCATTTTCTTATGGATGTCTTCCAAGTTTGTTCAAATAAAAGCCCTTGGGTTAAAACTGGCCCTGCAGGGTGTGGGGGGGGGGTATATACAGGTGAGCAACCTCAGAGCCATCATGGCCCTCTTATTTAATTATCTACCTTTATTATACATGTACTTAATTATGCTTGTCCAGAGAAATACTGGAAAAAGAGTTGATGAAATTTGATTAAACTTTTACACAGCGAAAATAATCAAGTGAAAGAAAGTGTTTTTTCAAATAACCCTAATTTTTGTGTCGCCTTGAAAAGGTGACATATAGGGGTTACTTTTGTCGGTGTCGTTGTCGGCGTCCCGGAGCATAACTCAGTCACTATAAGTCTGATTGACTTCAAACTTGGTATGCATGCTTCTTTTAATAACCCGAAATGCAGTGCACAAGGACCGGTACTCTGCAGTTCTTATTTTTTGAGTTATTGCCCTTTGTTAATTTTCATACTTTAATTTTGTCCGGGCCATTTCTCTTCAACTAAAAAAGCTATGGACTTGATACTTCATAGGATGATAGATCTCATTAAGAAGAAGTGCAGTACACAAGAACCAGTACTTTGTACTTCCTAATTTTTGAGTTATTGCCCTTTGTTAATTTTCATACTTTATTTTTGTCCAGGCCATTTCTTCTAATGAATAAAAGCCATGGACTTGAAACTTCATAGGATGATAGGTCTCATTAAGAAGAAGTGCAGTGCACAAGAACCAGTACTCTGCATTTCTTATTTTTTGAGTTATTGCCCTTTGTTTATTTTCATACTTTAATTTTGTCCGGGCCATTTCTCCTTAAGTATAAAAGCTATGGACTTGAAACCTCATAGGATGATAGATCTCATTAAGAAGATGTGCAGTGCACAAGAACTGGTACTCTGCATTTCTTATTTTTTGAGTTATTGCCCTTTGTTGATTTTCTTTCTTTATTTTTGTCCTGGTCATTTCTCCTCAAGTATGAAAGCTATGGACTTGAACCATCATAGAATGATAGATCTTATTGATAAGAAGTGCAGTGTTCAGAAACTGCTGCTCTGCACTTATTATTTTTTTAGTTATTGCCCTTTGTTATTTTTCATATTTCATTTTTGTCCTGGCCATTTCTCCTAAACTACATTGTTTAAAGGCGACACATCCGACTTGCGGAGTTCTAGTTTCTAGCTTAATTTTACAATTATCATTTCTTAAAATACATGTACTACAACTTTCAAAATAATGGTTGTCTGGAGTAAGTCTTTTCAATGATATCACACTCAAACTTAAAATACAGTTGTAGAGACTAGTGAGAAAAAGTCTTGTGTCAAATAACCAAAATTTTACATTACTTAGTTTTTGAATTATCTCCGTATATATTTCATGATACTGTTCAGAGAGAGGATTAAAATATTGAAGGAATTTAATTGAAACTTTATAAACGTTATACAGTGAAAGAGATTAGCATGAGAATTGCAGTAAACAAAGGCCATTATAAGTTCTAATGACATGGTCACATTCATATAATGTGATGCAAAAAATATTGACCATTTGAGTGTTTACTTGATACTGATACAGAAAATTTGATATATATCACAATTGATTATTTTTTCATAGCTTTGTCTCCCTTTATAATGTCATGTGTTAAAATAGTCAAGCTTGCAGTTTCCTCTGGTAGCTCTAATTTCACTTGTTGCTCTTGTCAAAAAAGGCCAATAACGGTTTATGATGGACCTACACATACATGTAACCTAAATATTATATTTAACATGTGTGTCATAGAATAATTGTATCATCTACTGTTCATTTACTGAATTGTGCACTTTATATTTATCAACCGGCAACACCCTTCACTCATTGAATTATCTGCCCCGAAATAGAAAAAATAGTTATTTGATCCTTCATACGTCCCAACTGCAGTGCCTTCAGCACTTTGATTATATAGGGGTTCCGTGCGGCTTGGTTTTACATATAAACTTAACGTTAACTGTATGCTTACCACAATTTCACTGCTTTTACCGATCGTTTAGGCCGCCATTTTATGAGCCCATTGTACGATTTTGGTCACGTGATCATCCGCAGTATCAAAGGAGTAGTTGTTTTAGAGTCATTTTATATCTTTCCATCGGACCAAAGTTTTGTATATTTGAGAGATTTCGCTAAAAATGCAAATAGAATCTCATATGTACATCAGTATCCTAGTTTTCAATGGTCAAATAAACGGTTCATTCTTTAAAATATAACAGAAGTGACAAATTTCTTTTGCTCCTTTGTGAAAATAGTAACTGCATTTTGAGCTAAGTTTTGACTTTGTAGTCTTTTGTATTTTGTATTCTTTCCAAACGATCCTTTTCTCAAATGTCTTTACCCAGCATACTCTTGCATCACGTAGTGTCTCTCTCTTAATATAGTCAGAATTGTTGTTTTTTTCTAATATAGGCTCAAAAAAAGTTCAGGTGCAGAAAACGTCATCCAATAATGTTTTCCAACAACAAGAGTCGGAAGAAAAAGAACTTTCAAGGATTGACTCTTCGAGCTCCCAGGTATGAATTATCACTTTACTTTAAATATTACACAAAAACATTTTTATCTTAGGGTATAATAAAACTTCCACTATTACTCGTGAAAATGTATGTTTATGATATTCATACGGAAAGTCAATGACTCAGTACCTGTATATATGGTGTAAATTAAGTTCTAATTGACAGTGTCATAAAACGGGTAAACATTTAAAAGGACATACAGCTCTTTTTAAGAAAATATTTCATCAAATACAAGCGTGTCTAAAAAAATTACCATGCAATTTCTATTTTATTTAGAGGAACCACCGCAATTATCAGATGTTGTATTTCATAATGATTAACTTTATGCAACGTAAAATATTTGTACATAGTAAATTTCACAATGTATGTCGAACATGTTGGACGTCTGAAGTAAAATTAGAACTTGATACTTATGCCGTTGACTATGATCCTGTAATCTAAAAAAAAATGAATACCTTGTACAAAATGACAATGTCTATTTGGCGTCCGCGCCGAAGCGCGGCGCCTCTTATGGAATGAGAAAGGGCAATTGCAACTTCTCGGGCCTTTTAGTCGGTCATAATAGCCGATCGTTCCGATTGTATTGACTGTAATAAAATCTGACAGCTGTAAAATGTCCCTTACTTTATCTCACTGTGGTCTTATTATCTTTCGGGATCAACAATATTGAGGATTGAATATCGCCTAAAACGGTGCTAGGGTGTGTGAAAGATTTTTACACCTTTTCATTAAATATCTCAAGAACAGAGAGAATATTGACCGGGAGTCACTTAGGGGCCATTTCACTTCGGTGCACGTATCAGTACAGACCAAAATATCTAGCTCGAGAGTATGCGTTAAAAGCGCCGGCTGTTTTCGCAAAACAGTTTCCCATTTTTTAAAATTCCTTTTCTAACGTTGTAACTATACTTTAAACATCGGATAGAAATTACGAATTTTTATAATTTTCTCTTTCATTTTTTTCTAAATAGCTTATATATATATACAATTTCAATTATAGTGGAGAAATGACGTCATACTAAGTATTCGTTCATAAAAATGCTTGAGTTATGTCAGCTTGTCTGACAATTCTAGAACCGGTACAACAGTCTTATAGACATACACATACAACCAACACTTAAGGTTAGACGGTAAAAATCATGTACTGGATATATTGAAATTTTCTACCTATTTTTAGAAATATCTTTCTGTCATAAATCTGTCATTTATTTTGTTATCAAAAAATTGGTTAAAATGTAATTAGAATCAAAGAACTTGTGCATTTAATTCTTTTTCCAGTTTTTTTCGTTTCTCGATGATTTACCGACAACAAAGAAACCAGAAACACCAAAAAAGAAGACACCAGGCGAGAAAGCAAAACCAAAGAAGACAGAGGGCGTGACAGGTGCAAAAAGAAAGGCGTTAACAGCGGGACCATCCACCAGTAAGAAAAAGAAGGCGTATGAAGGCTCTGAAATGGGTCATGGTGGCGAGATCATGTTTGAGGTATTAATTGATATACATTAATATTAGTACTCCGATTTGTGAACCACTATCTCTACCAATATTTCCAGAAATATCTTAAAAACGTAATATCGTTTTAAATCTAAAGCCGATGTCACCTTCTTTTGACAGTTTTTGTAACACTCATATAAGTACAATTTTAGTCACGTGAGAAAGTGACACCATAGCCTGAAAAAAGAGAAGAAAGAAATATAAAACTGGTGAAATTTTTAAACAGGCAATTAATTTCGCATTCCTTAAAACATTTATAAATGAAAGTTGAATAGAAAAACAATATTTATCCTTTTTAGGCTAGTTTTTTTTCTTTAAATAAAGTTAAAAAATGTATAAGTTATTGTTATAATAAATTCTACTACTAGTATGTCATTTATTGTAATTATTTTAATCATTTTGGACAGCTTTCGATGATGAAGTATTTGACAGCAAATAAAAAGGACGGAAAATTAACGGTTGGTATCAGAGAATTTTACCATGATGATGGGCAGTTACTGCCAAGTAAAGAAGGTAACTTCCATTTCTTGCCGTTATTATTTATGCTTACCGTTAACAAAAAGCTTTTTGTCTTTATAAAGTTGAAAAATGGTTGCTATTCCATAAAGTTATGCATATATAATTTCTGATTGTTTTATTGTACATTATTATGTACCAACAATCAACTATTAAGTAAAATATTTATAGACACGTGAGTCTCAACACTAAAACCCAAAGTTATTCTCAAGGAAAATGAATATTTTGTTAAGTTTATACACTACTTGTGTAAAAAAATTCGTATATTCGAACATTAGTTTTCATAGTTTCTTTTTGAAATATAATTAGCATGTAGGATGCAAGAAAATGAATCAAAGTAAGAAACCAGGTGTCTTTTTGAAGACGGGACTGTCTAGCTCTCGGGTAGCTGTTGAGCAGAAACTTGACAGAGCATCGTTAACGCCATAAACAGTTACACTCAAGCTAGATACTCCGGTCTGTACCGGCCATACGTCTGTTGTCGAAATTAACTGTTTACCTGCTTTTCGAGAAAAAGGTGTTATGACGGACTCTGTATTCTTAACATTTCAGGAATATCTTTAACTTTGGACCAATACAAAAGGCTGAAGAGTCAGCTAGCATCGGTTGATAAAGTTTTGAAAGACCTCTCATAATTTGTAGAGTCGTAGTTGCATTCTATTTTTTTGTATTTCTTTTTTACTTTTTTCCATTATGTTGTTATGGAAGCACTGGAGGGCCCTTTTGACTTCTGACTTTATGACTTTTGACTTGAGAGTTATGACTTTTGACTTGGGAGTTTTGACTTTTAACTCGAGACTTATTACGTCTTGGTTGTGAAATTAATTAATTGAACCACACTTTAAGAGAGCACGTGAGTAATAAGCGAAGATGGCTGTGTTGTGCCAAAATATGAAATTCGTGTTTGCGTGTTGTTTTCTGTGCACTCTGTTGAAGATAACAGCTGGTGTGGTACCAGCTTACCTGCCTTTGTCGTCTCCGAATGTTGATAAAGCATCACTCATTGAAGAATATTTCAAACAAGGTTTTAAATACAGTGAAATTCTTGGATTTTTGCTACTTAAGCATGGTATTTTGTTGTCACTGCGTCAGCTGAAAAGAATCTTGAAGAAGTTGAACCTGAAACGTCGAGGTGTACATTTGCAATCGCAGTTGAAAAACGTTGTTCGTGTAATTGGCACGGAAATGCATTATAGTGGACAGTCTGTCGGTTATCGGACGATATGGCGCCGGCTGAAAGTGAGTCATAATATGGATGTAAATTAAGCCATAGAGATGTTATGGACATAATGAAAGCAATAGATCCAAAATGTGATGGACTGAGAAAAGCACATCGACTTGAAAGACGTTTCTGTTGTGCAAAAGGGCCAAACAATATTTGGCATTTAGATGGTTATGATAAGTTGAAACCATTCGGATTTTGTATACACGGAGCGGTAGATGGTTTTAGCAGGAAAGTTATCTGGTTGGAAGTTTCTGACACTAACAACGATCCAAAACTGATTGCGATATATTATTTGGATGCATTGAAACGCATTGAAAAAACACCTCGCATACTTCGTTGCGATGCTGGAGCAGAAAACAGTGTTGTTTGTCTTCTACAGCAGTTCTTTCGGAATGAAGCAACCGACCACTTTGCTAGTAGTCGCAGCGTTATTGTTGGAAGAAGCACTTCTTACCAGCGCATTGAAAGATGGTGGGGTAAGCTACGTCAACAAGGAATACAGTAGTGGATTAACTTTTTAAAGGATTTGCGCGATTCTGGTCGTTTCAATGAACTCGACCAGATACATTGTGAAAATTTGAAAAAAAAAATTATGAATCTAATACAAACACACCTGGATAGAATTGCTAAACAGTGGAATGTACATGAAATTAGACCTCAGCACAATTCCGATGCACATTACGGAAAACCTGACATTATGTATTTTCTACCTGAAACGTTTGGCACGCTTGATTATGGTACTGCGGTTGACAAACGTGATGTGACCTGTTTTAAAGACATGTATTCAGTTCCAAAGAGAAAGTTTGACGAATTCAGCGAATTGGCTTATCTGTTAAAGCCCGACCTCCAAATGCCAGTATATGCCGATTCAGCATTGAATTGGTTCCTGGAGTTGAATGATTTAGTGGCAAACTCGTATGAAGACTAAAGTCTTTTTTAGCCATAAAGTTGTTTTGTGAGAGAATAAATGATCAACACGATCCATCATTATCATCATCATCATCATCATCTACATCATCATGATTATCATTATAAGTATGTTGACTGCAATGATGATTGTCATGATGCTGCTCCTCATGATGAAGGTCGACTATATAATTTAAATAATTATGTTCTTGATGATAAGCAGAAGTTAATTTCGATGATAATGATTATAATCATGACGATGATGATAACTATATTAAGGATGATGATCGTGATGATGCTGTAAACTATAGTATAATATATTTTATAGTTCATAACGTAAGTGGCATATGTTTATTCTTATGTTTGACAGTCAATTATAACAAACGTATATATCACGAAAGTCAAATGTTATTTCTACGTTCAAATACATCATGGCTCACAAAGCTCTGTTTGTAACCGTTAACGTTTCAGTCAAGAAAAACTACGGACCTGTGACAAGTGTAGACCGAATTAGTCTGTGCAGGTGTGCAGACTTACTAGGGCCTATGTACTTAACTTTCAGTTAATTAGAATCTGGCTATTAAAATACATTTACTGTCTCACGTTCATCTTTGTAGACCAAATGCCCTAGTACGAAACTTGCACAGGATATCTAGCCAGTACTACCGTATTCTTCCTAGTAATCGCCCAGGGCGCTTAGAAAATTGTGAAAGGTGGGCGCTTATAAGGAGTCAGGTCTTACAATAGTATACAATATGTAAGAGTCGCAGCTATGCAATTTCTGTTGATATCTCGTATTTAAAGTGGTCCCGTTTACTGACAAATCACTACAGTGGGTTTGAAATGTAAATATCCACAGTCTTTCCTTGTACAGTGAAATTTTCTAGGCCCGCGGACATGCATAAAAATTTTAAATGTCGATTGTGGTCAGTTGTTTTTTTTTTCTTTTAAGACAATTTATCCTGGGCGCTTAACCTTTTACAAATGGAAAAGAAGGGATGGGCGCTTATAGAAGCATTGGCTCTTATTAGCTCGAATAGGTAGTTATCCGTGGTAAGGTCAGCTTCAAGAATTTCCAGGATGACGCATTTGTAAAGCTTAGGACGTTTTAAACGATAGTGCAATGACACTTCGTGCACAATGGTCTGACTTGTGACTTCGTATTTGTGACTTTTGACTTCTTACTTGTGACTTCCTACTTGTGACTGTTGACTTCCAACTTGTGAGTAGTGACTTCAAACACTTGTGGTCTTGACTTTTTACGTATCGACCTCTATTACAAATAGTTTAAGATACAACCGTTTCGTAAAAAGCCCTCAAAATGGATTAAACAACTAGACCTTTTCTACCCCTAGTATAAAGCGCCCGTGTAGGGCAAGGTCATGCACCAAAACTATGATTTTTTGTTCTTATTCCACCAGTCCTATTTCCTATAGCAAATTTAAGCTTGACATAGCAAAGCTTTGGATATGAGACACCAGCACACGGAAGGTGGTTCTTTTTGTTATATTTTCCTAAAAAGAAAACTAGATGACAACAATATCATTCTCAGCAAAGCTTCTACTTAAGCTCACACGAATTAAAAACTACAATAAGAGCGTCATGGGCAGCACACTCGACTATTCTAAATGAAAACCATCTTAGTCGACAAGGCAGTCAATTTTAACAAAATGCTTGACAGAGTTATCTACCCATGTCTAGGGGTTGGGGTCATGGTGGTTAACAAGTCTGCAAAATTTCAAAGCGATACTTGGAACATAATTGATGTGGTATGAAAAATTGGACAGAACATTAAACTAACGCCGACGCCCGGATGAGGAGAAAGCCGTCCTTATTGTTCGAATAGTCGAGCTATAAATTACAGGATGTAAAAGGACGATTAACACAATTGTGTTATAAAAGCACAACATGACAATATCTTTTTAAAAATGTTAGTATTTATTACAATATTGATTTAAAAAAGAGTTTTTATTTAACAATTAACAATTGAAGTAGAAGTTTGTTCCATTTCTTGGAGCAGCGAACTAGTAGTTGCCAGGGGCTGTTTTTCTTCTTTGCCTTTTTTATTTTTAATGTTGTCTATGACTTCCTTTATACGTTGTTTCCTATGTATGTCCTGTAAATAGCAAAAAGATAAAATTTCGAAAGGTGCTTCATTCTGTGCTTCATTTTATCAACATTGTTTACCTGGTGTTTTAATAATATTATTTAATCACTGTTGCACAAGAGTGATTTTGTGTCCTTCATTCAAACATTCTCAATTAATTGAAGTTTCAGAATTACAATTTTCTAATACTAACCATTAACGACACAAAGTATACTGTCATGAGATAATCAGATTACACATTGTTTAGTTGTTTTAATAAAACAAAGCAAATATATTCCGTTACTAATCTTTATTAATAATGGCATATTCTTATTAAGGGGAGGTAATTATGGGAGAACAGGATACATATCGGAAAATAAACAAAATCAAGTCAATTGAAGATGGGAAGGTAGCGGGTACAACAAACCAACATATTTTTTTTACTTGTCCTAAGCACAATTAAAAACTGAATCACTTTAGTTTAGAAGGACTAACTTTATCAAAGTTAATTCTTCTTTCAAGTAAGCTTAAATTCAATGAATCTATGAAGCGAAAAGCACAGTATTACGGAATACCGTTAGGGCCACCGTGGTTGTACGTTATATTCCAGAGGGCGACAATGTGATAGTGCGACAACACAATGGTAATAGTACGATGACGACAACGCGATAACACGAGGACGACAATGCTATAGACTTTCACATTATTGTCATCGTACTATCGCATTGTCGCCATCGCATTATCGCACTGTCGCATTGTCGTACTGTCGTCATCGCATTGTCGCCATTGCATTGTCGCGTTGTCATCATCGCACTATCGTACTATCGTCACTGTACTCTCGTACTATCGCCATCGCGTTGTCGCACTATCACATTGTCGCCCTTTGGATTATAACGTTCAACCATGATTGCCCTAACGGTATTCTGTACAGTATTACTGATAGCAAAGTTGTTTTTTTTATTTTGATTTCTGACAAGGTCTAGCTGATCAACTAGCTAGCTGAACCAAAGTGTTTTTGAGCCACTCATGGCCTCCTGTGTCTAGTTCTGGCTTTCAAATATAATATGCCGTTTTTTTTTCATCTGAGGAGGCATTTTGTTCCCGTAATGTACAGTAAACTATAAATATGGGAACATCGAATGTGTTTGACCAACCGAATCCAGTGATAAATCTAATTCTCATATACATGGAAAGGACTGATGAATAAAATTGGTGTGTAATTGTATTTTATGCATAATCAGTCATTTAAAGAAGAATGTTTCTTTGTTTTTTAGTTTTGTGAATGGTATTAATACACTAAACGAAATCGATCATTCCGACAACCTTTTATATGTACATGTATATATAATTGATCAGAATAATTATGAATATATATACTTGTATAGAATAATTACAACGATTCTTGTATAAACACTTATCATAGTATCATGATTTTATATCAGTAAATGCATTTTGTAATAATTCAATCTTAACAAGAAGCCAATGATTTGGCATATATTTTGAAAACTCGACCTTATCTGCAAGGTTAAATCTTAGCACTTATAAGTTTCATTAAGTATAGATTGTTTGATTGATGGAAGTTAGACTCGGTTCCCCCGTGAGGCTTGAAATGAGTCACTTTTCTCACATTGAGGGAGAGTGTTAATTTCTTAGGTTAAACGCATCTAGATCTCAGTGAACAAAAATACACAGACCGTCCAAATTGTATTGCTCGATTAGTGATGGATATGTATATCATCGCTAAATTACATTATTGAAGAAGAATATTCAAGCAAACTATAAAAACTTACATCATCTGACAAATCGCTGTCCGCCATGTTGCATCTCCTGGCTTAAAATGAGCGGCAATGCATCATCACAAATTACAAGCCACAACTTAGAAGTCACAAGTCATAACTCCCAAGTCAATAGTCAAAAGTCATTAAGTCAGAAGTCAAAAGGGCCATCTAGTGCTTCCATAAATGTTCTCATAATTATGTAATCAGGATTGTCTTGAATATCTTAAAAAGTAAAGCAAGGGAAAAGGGAAAATACAGTTTTAGCCTGGTGGACTGAAATGTGCGATATTTTTAATTTTAAAGAAAGTGTTAAACTGTAATAGATACATTAACTATACTTTAAATATTGAACAATGATTTAAAAAAAAATAATGTTGTTAACCAAATTATTGTTGAAGATAATAGAAAGAGTTGCATGATGATAAATGATAATGTTAAATATTTGATTACAATGCAAATAATATATGATAGCGACACAACGTTTAATAACGTGTCATAGTCTTGCACTGCTACGTTAATTTAGTATTGTATCATAGTTTGGGGACCATTCTGTTGAAAATGTGTCAGAGTTAAATCGTATACATATACATGCATAGTACGTTAACTGGAGTGCAGGTATTAGTTACACAAAAGAGAAAGAACATCAAAACACTCGGCAATCTGATTTTTACTCGGGAGCTACGCCCCCTCGTAAAAATCAGATAACCTCGTGTTTCGATGCCCTTTCTATTATTTACATACATGTATATATCACACAACTGTGAGAGACATAGATGACGAAGTATGTGTTATAGTAATATACCCTTGCAAAAAACTTTATCAAAATATAATATTTCATATATCCAATACATATTTGATTAGTATAAAAATGCTATTCTATTATTCACTGTATTGCTTGCATAAACTTAACTAATATATTGGATCGTATTTAAACTGATTTTGGTGATGTTTTATACGCAAATCAAATACAATAGATTTTCTGTTCGGGTTTGGTTTTATTCTGCTTATGAGTTTTTAAAATCGTCTAATAAAATAATCTCGCAAAAAAAATGTTGTTGTCTTGTTATCTGTAATTGCCAGCTGGTGAGGAGAGCCCACATTGTCTCTGATACCCTGAAATATAGTCACACAGAACTGAGATGTCATTTCCGTTTTGATTCTACAAATAGGTTTAATAGATTAAGAAATGAAGACAAAAACATCTCAATATAATGTTCAATATAATGAATTAAAATTAAAGACTACGCCATATGCTTGACGAGATAAATAGGCGGTGAGGGGGAGTGTTATGTTGCAGACAGGCATGTCTCAGAGGCAAGTTGTCAGAAACTTGAATGTTTACCAAAAGTTTTGTTTCACAAATGTGGTATTTTATTCAAATCGTAGGAATTGTAGCACGTTACTTTACACAGTGGTGTTCGTTCTGATCTACAACACATGCTCCGTACTGAAAACGCCAAAGTTGTGCCCCTGACCATGTGCAATAAAGACCCAGCATTTGGACCCCTGTTGTCTTTACTGACACGCGCCAGAGAGTGAAGAAGACAAGAAAGAAACGTTCTGCACATGCTTTTATCTCGGAACATGACAGTAACTGTGGAGAGTCTTTCATGGTTTTAGTGAGAAAAATTCATTCTTCATCGGTTTCATTAAATAAACGAACAAAACATATCATAAACTATTCAATGCACGAAAAAATCTATAGACTATAAAACTGGTCCTTATCAAATTTTGAATAGTATAATTATTAAACCTTGCCTTGTCGGAACCTTGTAGAAACTGATGGCTTCCTATTGTCATCTTTATTTCATGGAACGGACTGTTCAAAAATGTGGAAATTGGTCTAGTCCATTTATGAAATTCAGCAGGTGAAAGACTAAAAGATGACAGAAAATGGCGAAATATAGCGGAATCACACGAGCTTGTTAAATCCTTTAACTTGAAAAAGTGCAAATGAAATATCATGAAGGTCAGCGTGAATTAAGTTCAAAACAATGGAAGAATATATACATAAAAAAAAGAAAAGAAAAAGAAAAAACAAAAAAAAAAAAACAAAAAACAAAAAAACATAGATAGATATTTATTCAGGTTAAAACACATATACATCAAAATACTATTTTTCAATTGCATTGTGACTAGTGAAAAAAATGATATTCAAATTTAAAACGATAGCGTAAGGTATGTCCAATCAGTTTAAACAACAATACAATATTTTCCGTTTGAAAACGAAGAAATAAAGCTGGTTGTATTTACAAAGAAACGTACGCA